GTGAATACTTCATACTGCTATATTCAGTGCAAAAAGAGAGAACATACAGAGTGCAAGTACGGACCTGAGGGCTTCTAGAAAAGAAAGAATATAGCTAGAAGTAATGTGATGGGTAGCATACCTTTTTGAGATGATTGAAAACAACGCCTCTAAAAGGATCACAAATGTAAAGCGATTTATCATTTTCTTTTATATTGAGTGCTGTTTCTTCTTCAAGGATCTGGAGATGTTCTTCTGACTGAAATTCTTTTATAGACTGCGGGTAAACAGTGCACACAACAACATTTTTTAATTAACAAAACACAAATAGCCAATCCTGTGGAAACTGCACAAGTACCTCTACTCGAAACAGCTCACAGCAAAGCTACCATGCAAGAGTATATTGGCAGAAAAAAGGGCTAAAATACCTTGTTTTGTGTTCATCACACAAACTTTCAGGACCTGACCCAGCCACACAGTGCCTTTAGCTCCCACCAGCCTCTCAAGGTGGAAAACAATCCACAGTGCCCTTCCTAAGTTTGCTTAGATGAGTGACCACCATCCAGACCTTCCAAGCTACATGTCACTTCACTAAATGTCAATAGGTGTTGAAAGGATAATTATTTCTCATTCAAGAAGTAATTTCTTCAACAGAATTGTTCTTGTTCAACAAACTTTATTAAACACTAAACACCTCTATTACAGAAATAGCTTTATTTCCATATGTATACACATAAGCTACACCTAAGTCAACCACATAAATCATTTAATTAGATAATTCATCAAGCTCACTGAGAAAGGTGATCAAACCTACTTACCTCAAGAGCTTTAAAGAAATACTCCGAGTTCCCAGAAGACTTTATGAATTTCACGAAGAATGGCTCCTTACTACCTTTCATCCTTTAACTGAGAAGCAAAACCCGGTAAGCGTCCTGACATTTTCGGCGTCGCCCGGAACCGCGCGGTGAGAGGACGCGCCGCCCGCCCCCAGGAGCTGCAGAACCCCTCTCGTCCCTCTCCTGCCCCCGCCCGGCCCATGGGCCTGTCCCACGCCGCCCAGCCTCGGCGCCGACTTCTGCCGGAGAGGGGCGGGGG